TTAAAATAATTATAGGGACAAGTTAAAGGGGGGGGGGGGGGTAAGGAAAGCAACCTATTCCCGATATCCATATAGGATTGCTCTGCTTTCAATGGGCGTGTTAAGCTTGCAAGCCTCGTAATACTTTATGCGATTCGAGTGCATAAAGCTATTTAACGATGCTACAAAGTCCCTTCGATATTAAACAGTACAATTTAAATCCAATACTAAAAAGTTATTTGACGGTAAACACATTTCATGTTAAAATATTTGATCGACGAAAGCTTCTTTAATCCCAGTTTTAAAGTTCGGCGAGGCTCGCGCCAAGTCGAGTGTTTACCAGCGGTTTAGGTATAATCGGCCTTGCCTGCGTAAACTCGCGGAAGGAGAAAAGATCTCTCCCCGTCTGCGCGGGATATTGAGAGAATTGTAGAAAGGGACGTGACCGGGGAGAGGGAAGAAGTAGAGGGTGGGGTCGCGGTGCCGGCGGCTGGTCGCACCGGCTGCGGACTTAACCGGGGGAACGACGGGAGAATCCCCCACTTCACCCTCCCTCGCCACTGCGTTGCAGCACGCGTATTACAGGGATATGGAGAGCGAACGAAAGTGAGAGTAAGTGAGCGAGAGTGAGATAGTGAGAGAGTGAGAGATAGAGAGATGGTCGTCTCGTGGCGGTAGAGTAGGAGACGGGTTGGAAGGGGGAGGGGGGCTAGAAACAGAAATAAAGACAGGTGACGGCAGCGGTAAAGAGAGACAGAGCTAATACATAACGTGTGCGAACAGCTTGCGATTGTTTACAGTGACCGGATGAGTATGAACAAAGTCCTTAATCGGCCTCTTATTTATGATTGATATTGTCCAGGGTTAAAGATCACGGTATCGTAACCTGATGGATAAGTAGGCGTCATCGTCTGTCATTCGCAGGCTAGTTTTGATGTCAATACGGACAACCGAGATCCGTTACTCGTTTGTACGTGAACAAAAAATATATGCTTAGACGTACAACATCGAAGATACCAAAATAGAATCCGATAAGTACTACAGTCCATAAACAAAATCGTTACAGCATCAATGAAGTGACGACGACGACTACGACGTGTCAACAACTCGTGACGATAACGTGTCCGGATGCAACAAGTTGCATTGTTCCACTCGGTTACGGTCACGTGCGCGCGTCCGAAGCCTAACTCAACCTCACAAGGAAAAATCAAAGAGAAGGAGCATAGTCGCGTGCGAGAAAGAGCGGGAAGAAAAGGGGAGGTGTGTGTGTGTGTGTGTGTGTGTGTGTGTGTGTGTGTGAGAGGGGAGGGGCAAAGAAGAGATACAGAGTGGTGGTGTGTCGTAGAGAGGGAGAGAGCACGAGAGAGGGTAGACAAGTTTGGGACACCGCGTGTACACCCGGGGGG